TGAGTAGTAGTCAGCTTGGATGTCTGCTGCTAGGAGGTAGGGTGGTGTATGTTTGGTGGGACTAGCTGATGTGACAGCACGGGCTGTGTAGGTTGGTGCAGCCTTGGTGCTCGGGTAGACGGGACTGCTTGGAATTGGTGGTGATGGACAGAGGTTTGAATTGACTGCGTGTAACCTTGATGTTACGGCTGATTAGAACGGAGTAGGGACCCATAGGTATTGTGCCTCTGCTGCTAGCTTTCGGTGGTGAAGGGTAGCTTTCACTTTCTGCTCCAAGTTGACACACGGAGCATGAATAACACGCATTGTACCTCCAGCCTTTGGTCAAGAGCTTTCTGGCTTCTTTCATCTGAAAGCAGGCTCTGAAACACAAGACAACGCAGATGTTAAAGCCTAAGCAACAGACTGCAAGCAAAGGAAAAGTAAAGCTTACTCAATTCTGTCCATGCCTCCTTTCCCCTCCTCCTCCTCCTCCTCCATCTTCACTTCTTTCTGACCTTTCATTTGTGAGAGAGAAATCCACCTCTACATTGTACCCACTAAAATATAAAGCAGGTAGACATATGTTTTCTTATTGTAAAAAGAAGTGACACACACTGTGTGTTATATAACAAATATGTGGACTAAATCCTTATACAAGTACAAGTGTCCAACAGAAGCCGTCAAAAAGTCTATGGCCACCTCACTCTTCTGTGCTGGGTACAGTATATCTCAGTGATGTAAGGGCACACGTTCAGCCCAGGCACTCATCTCTGCAGCATTTGCATTCCTGAAGCCGGAATATGTTTTTTGCACATACCGTTACAAGCTTTGTCCCAAAGGTGTACAATTAGTTTGTGTGAAACAGGCTGAACAGAAAAGTTTCCATGGACAGGGTAAAAGTCAAGTCATACATTTTAGGTGTAAAATGTACATGTAAAATGCTAGCTGCAAGGTAGCAGGAGATGCTACTATATGCAGCTTTCTGCCATGGTTTAGCAGATGTGGGGAGCTGGCTGAATCCCGGGCCCTGCTTTCCCCACCCCAGAGCCAGGCGCAGTCACCAAGGGGCTGGCAGTCCTTCTTGCTGTCCTGGAACCAACAGTTCTTGAAGGCGGGCTGTGGCTGTGCTTGCATGTCAGATCCCCAGCACCACGGCACGTTCAGTGCTCAAAGCACTCCTCCTCAAATCGGGCGTCTCCCACCTGTCAGTGGGGGATGAATGGGAAAACAGGAAGAAACATGCAGCAACACTCATGCAGATCCCACTCTGGGTCCAGGACAACGTGTTATACTCAGCCACACTCCCCAGGCCAGAGGCAGTTGCATCTCAGCTCCCTGCTACACTTGGTGTTGCCCCACTCCATAGCTGGCTGCAATGGGGCTGTGCTACATGCAGCTGTGCCCCACCCCACACCTGGGTGCATCCAGGCCCCTTTCTACCCCACTATGCCCCTGCCAGCTCACCGGGAGGTAGGTGCTGCCGGGCCAAGGAATCTGTAAGCTGAGGCCAGGTGAGGATGCAGTCTGTTCCACTGGAGACGAGCTAGCCAGGCAGACGCAGCCCTCAGCACGGCCCCCCAGGGAGGCTGCAGAGCAAGAGGTGGGGCAGTGGGAACCATACGTGTTGTAGTTGCTGTTGGCGGGGCAGGTGAAAACTTGGGGGGGCAGAGAGAGGGGAGGGGGTGAGTGCCTGGGTGCCTGGGTTCCCTTGGAGGGGGTGGGGGCTGGAGAGTGAGAGCTAGGGAGTCAGGGGGCCTGGATGCTTGGGCCCTACACTCCAAGCACATGTTGGGACCATGCCAAGCCCAGACACTAACGGGGGCACCGGCAGCTTGGCAGGCAACTGTGTAGGTGCTAAGGCTCATGCAGAGGGGCTCTTCTGGCCCCCAGGAGTTGCACAAGTTGAAGTGACAGGTCCACAAGAATTGCATGACAGGCATCTGGGCCTGGCACTGCCTGTGGGGGCAGGGGACAGCAAGGCCAGTATCCCTCACTCCCGACAAAGCCCCATCTCTTACACCCTAATACCCCTCACACCCATCCTGCAGCCCCCCACCCCACCTGATTGCCCCTGAGTCCCGATCTGCAGCCACCACCGAAGACCCCACCAGGGTCCAGCAGCTGCCCACTACTCTCGGGTCCTTCTGTCTTGTCCAAGATCTCGAATCTGCAGTCAGTGATAATCTGCCTCCCAAGCTGGCATATGGCAGCTGGGCAGGGACCTCCCAGGGCTTCTGCGTCTCCCAGTACCCAAAAGTTACCTCCCAATCCCCTCCCAGCTGCACTCACAGCCTTCAGTGTCCCCCACTAAAAGAGCCCAGTAACCTCCTATTAGCTCCCCAGGAAATTCCCAGTATCCCCCAGGGCCTCCCAGCACCCTCTCAGGCAGGCCCAGTAAACAGACCAGCTTCTTCAGTAACCACCCAGTAACCTCTCAAAAGCCCTGCAGTGCCTTCTAATTCTCCCAGAGGATGAAGAGGTACTCAATTGAGTGGGGGGTACGAGGGGTGCAAGCGCCTTGTGCCAAGCGCCAGAGCATTGTCATGGTCCTCATAGATCCCATCCAGGCAGCACTGGTCATTCCTGGGGTCTCCACGAGTGTCATCCCATGGACCCTACAGCTGCCAGGCCACTATGATAGGACAAGCGGAGGAGGGAGGGGAAGGGAGGGGTTGTGCACCAGGCATGTGGTACCCCGGAAGGGAGACAGGCCTGCAGCGTGGGATTGAGAGGAGACCAGCAGGCCTGGGAGGGGGTGGCCACGCCAGATGCGCAGGCTGCTGACCCCATCCCAGCCCTCACTCTATCCCCAGTGAGGAGCAGGCGACAGTCCAGGAACCAGCTGCTAGGCAGAAGCGAGGGCATCACCCACAAACCGTTTACCGGCCAACAGCCACAGCTCCCCAGTATCCTCCCAGTACCTTGAAGGAAGCCTCGGTAACCCTCAGCCCCCAACTTGTCCCAGCCAGTGCCTCCTTTATCTCCCAGTATCCTCCTAGTCCCTCCCAGTGCTCTCACCAGGACACAGCACCTCCAGCACACGCTGACAAGAGCACCAGGCAGCTGTATCATGGCCACACACCGCCGGGAACCTCAGCCCATGGTCCCCTTCTGGACAGGTGAACATACATGGGTTCAGGTGTTATGCTTGGAGCTGCCCCAGTGCCCTCACCAGCCAGCCACCTCCCCCCGCCCCCCCAAGTAACACAGTAACCTGTGACCTGACAGTCACAGAAAAGCCAACAGCCCACAAACACTAAAGCAGCTACAGCCAGGCCCTTAGGCCCCCTGCTGCAGATGCACCGAGGACCACACAGGACACCCACCACATCCCTGACATCTGCTGTGCCCAGCACAGACACCGCAACAGGGCCCAGCTGGCATCCAGACCCCACATGCTTCACTGACCAGCTAGAACAGAGTGAAAAATCCCCTTTCCCATTCCTGGTATTTGTCACCTGCTTCCCACACGGCATCGAGAACAAGGGCCAGCAGCTCTCACAGCCTGCGCTCGCACAGTGTATGACCGGGGAAGGAACACGCCCAAACCCCCTACTTCTCTTCTGGACCTGAGGAAAGGGCCTCTGGGCCAGAAGCCTTGTCTGCCACTTCTCCCAACTGCACTCTCGGTCCAATACAGCATCCAAACAAAACAGATCCTTGCCTCACGCATTCCCTGGACGATCAGAACTGCACTTATCTGACCCAACTTTTGCTTCAATCCAGTCTACAAACAGGTGGAGCAGACATGACTCAACACAACTGATTGTTCTTCTTGCTACTTAGCTCTGGCAGCACTTCCTTCTTCCCCAGACAAAAGCAAGGCCTGTGAGCTTGTCTGCCAAGCCTCTGAAATACGCAGTTGGTCCAGCATAAGCCATCGCCAAAGACCTGGCTTCACATACATGTCTTGGACCATCCTTCCCAGAGCTACACTCCAAACCTGCTAGCACACAGAAGTACGCCTAAGCAATGGGACACTGGCATGGAGGTGAGAAGTGCAAGAGCTCACCACAAATACATCATGTTAGGAACCTGCCCATCATTGCAGGACCAGATAAACAGCCCTGATGCAGCTTCAAGTGACTAAGGGCTGAGGCAAGAGCTCTGAGCAGATCTGGTTCCGGGAAGAAAAGGGTGAAGGAGATTCCCCAGCAGACACGGTCCTCCTCAAGCCACAGGCTCCAGCTGCTCGGTCAGGGTGTGGAGCCCAGGGCCAAAGTCCCTGGGAAAGCCCCTGGCTGGGATCCAGCCTCAGTCCCCTGAGAGTGCACGAAGGGTGGGAGGAGCCGCAGCACCCATGAAACCTCCTGCCACCCTGGGAGCCAGGGCTCCAGGAATCTCAGAGCTGAGGGGCAGGGGCCAGGATGCAGAGCCCCATTTCTGAGAAGGATGCAGGACATGTCCTGGAGGTTTGCAATCACTGCTTCTGCCTGACAAGAGGAAAGAGGCGGGGGGAGGGAAAGGAGGGAAAGGGGTAGGATGGGACCCAGGGAGGAAAAGATGGGCAGGAGGCTACTCAATAGAGAGGGTGGAGGCATGAGGCAGGGGGACAGGCATCCTGGGCGGATGTGGGAAGGGCTCCAGGCATTGGGGTCTGCAGCACTGCAAATCCAAGACCCAGGCCTCCCAATGAAATCCCAGGGAGGCTCTAGAGCCTTGGGGTCTTTGCAGGTGAGATTCAAATGATTATTAACCTGTCTCTTTTCCCAGACACCTGGTCCCAGGAGCAGCTGCTGGAGTTGGGACAAGCTATGAGGAAGCGTGGACACTCTTTGAACCTCTCCTGCAAAGCCTCTGGGCTTGCATTCAGCAGCTCCCACATGCACTGGGTCCCCCAGGTTCCTGGGGAGGGGCTGGAGTGGGTGGCTGCTATGAGCAACCTTGCACCTACCATACACTGCAGCAGGTCTGTGCATGGGGGGGGTCACCATCTCCAAGAGCAATGCCTAGAACCTGCTACACTGACAGATGAGGCATGTGAGACCTGAGGACAGTCTCGTATTGTTGTGACAGAAACACTGTGAAGCAAGTCCTACTGTTGCTAAAGCAAAACCCTTGAGCTGCAGACCCCTTTTCTCCCAGGTCCCACAAGCAGCACTGGCTTGGGGACTGGGGTGGAGAGACAGTACTGTTAGCAGGGCACCAGAACTGACAGCAAGATTTAACTCTGTCATCACCTGCAAGGATTCCCTCTGCTACCCTCCTTGTGCTGCTGATTTCAGGGAAATGCTAGACTTCTTCTGAATATGAAGGCCCAGGCTGTTAATTAGGCACAGGCAGAACCACCCCTCCCCACTCCGTACAAGGGTTCAGGGACTCAGGGAGACAACAGTGACTGGGAAATATGTCAGGGTTGATGCAGACTGATCCCTGATTTTTCCAGATCTCTGCTACCAACTGCAGCTTGAAAGACCCCAGACCAGGGATGGTGCAGCCTGGAGAGACCCTTACCTTGACCTGCATGATTGTAGTACAAATACATTAGATTTTAGACATAAGGCTTGAAATTAGACATGATGCTTTATTTTTGCAATATGCTTCTGTATTCAACATGGCTTGCTAACAGCTTCTGCATATAGGTTAAGGACAGCTTTACACATAGAGTTTCACAATCGCACCTGTTCAATGACCTAGAATTACACAAAGATAAGGGGTTACTAAAGGACATTGAGTTTACCACAGCTTCCCCAACACGCATGCGCCTTCATCTATCCCATAATAAGTTGAGTCTAACTTAAAAGGCCCTGAC